TCTGCAGGATCGCGTGGCAGTCTGGGACAGTACCCCTGGACTGGCAGACCGGGGTGGTGGTGCCTCTTTTCAAAAAAGGGGCCCGGAGGGTGTGTTCCAACTATCGGGGATCACACTCCTCAGCCTCCTGGGAAAAGTGTATTCCAGGGTACTGGAGAGGAGAATCCAGCTGATAGTCGAACCTCGTGTTCAAGAGGAACAATGCGGTTTTCGTCCTGGTCATGGAACATTGGACCAGCTCTATACCCTCCACAGGGTGCTTGAGGGTTCATGGGAGTTTGCCCAACCTGTTCACATGTGTTTTGTGGACTTGGAAAAGGATGGGGTATGGGGTTGGGGGGCCCTCTTCTAAAGGCTGTGCAGACCCTGTGCGATCGGAGTAGGAGCTTGATTCGCATTGCCGGCAGTAAGTCGGACCTGTTCCCGGTGCATGTTGGACTACGGCAGGGCTGCCCTTTGTCACCAGTTCTGTTCATTATTTTTATGGACAGAATTTCTAGGCGCAGCCAGGTGTCAGGTGGGGTCCAGTTCGGTATCCACCGGATTTCATCTCTGCTTTTTGCGGATGATGTGGTCTTGTTGGCCTCTTCGAACCAGGACCTGCACTGGGGCGGTTTGTAGTCGAGTGTAAAGCCGCTGGGATGAGAATTAGCACCTCTAAGTCCGAGGCACATGGTTCTCGACCGGAAAAAGGTGGTTAGCACCCTCCGGGTTGGGGAGGAAGAATAGTTCACAGAGAGTGACTCGTTTGCAATGAAAGATTAATTCCCAGAGAGTGATTAATTTGCAATGAGTGATTAGTTCACAGTGAAACATTAGTTCACAGAGAGTGATAATTACGCAGAGAGTGATTTGTGAGTGATTCGTGAGTTCAATATAAACAAGTCTTTGACTTCATGACTCGGGCGTTATGAGTCACAAATCTTTCATATGACTCGGGAGTCACGAGTCATATTAAAGATTAGTTTATATTGAACAAATTACAGTTGTTACATTTACCATAAGCACAAAAACATTGCGCAGACTTAGATAGAAATTAAAGTTGCATCTGGGATTTATCAACCAACACACAGAGAGAAAGGCAGGTGCACAGTTGACAAACTGGTACCATTAACTTTTAAATCTTTACTCTATTCACTGTTGAATTTTCTCTGACTGTGTTCTCTGTGTCCTCTTAGTTGTACTTATCGATGGTACATCTGGACACATAACAAGGCTTAATGTAAAAACTCAATCTAGGAGGTAAGTACCTACTTTAGCGCTAATAACATAGACCAGAGTGCCCAATAAGCAGACCTGAATCTACCATTAGATCACAAAGAACTGTGCTGGTAAATCCTGAGCTCTAAGAAGAGTAACCACACAGAGCAGGGGTTCCCTGTTACCCCCCCCCCCCCCCGACAAAAATGTTCCCACCCCCCTGTGCACCCCAACCCTCATCTTCACAAATTGAAATACTATTGAGAACCTAATAACGTATATTTTTTATCTGTATAAACCACTGTATGAGTTGCTGCCACCTGTGTCTGCAGGCTTGTTATCATTTATGCATTGCAGCAGTGGTACACGTATGTCCAGCATGCAATATTCCTTTGGAAGCCCCTCACGTCCCCTGGCACCTGACCGCACCCCCCAAGGGGACCTGCCCCGCTATTTGAGAAGTTTTGACATAGAGCAAGAATTTAATCATATTGTGCCATAGAGCTACATGTTAACAAGTATGTTCAGTTAATGTGTAAATATATATTTAATGTTTTCAATGTAGGTACTGTAGATTACTTTAACCTGCCCATTCCAGTAATAAAAAACAAAAAGGTGATGTAGACTGTTTATAAGGAAAGGATAATGCTACCTACATTACAGGCCAACATGGCAGAGTCAAGGCCCAGGAAAACTATAAATGCTGTACTGTATTGAACATCAACTGGCGACCAGATCCACTCCGCCACTGGGTCCAATATAAACATAAAACTTTTTTTCTTTTTAAATGTGATTTTTATTTCATTTTATTTATTATATAGCCCCAAAGGTGTCTGTCCAGATCCCCTCTGACAAATATAGTTGGTGACCCGTGCTCCAAAGGTTTTAAAAAGATCCCAAAAACCTAAGGTTTAACCTATTTATATTTGTAATACTTTCATTTATATCCTAGTATTTTACTATTTGGCCTTATTTCTTAGTGACGTTCTGGAAAACCAATCAAAGTCAACATCGGCTGACTGGCTCTACAGGATATGATATGTGGTTTATGTTTTCGTCGACATTCTTGTAGATTATTCCCCAGGATTATGTCATTTTATATAACTATGACTATATTGTTCTCCCACAAGACTACGGGCAAAGATTAGACACAAGGATCAATTGTAAATTGAGGTTCTACCTCTAGAAAGAGCTGCCATGCTAACAGTGAAACAACATACACTGACTGTTATCCCAGGATCAGGTGTAAGAGTTTTCTGATGACATGAATAGGCCATCATGTCAGTTGCATGCAAAGGCTTTGGGCTGAAAAGATGGGCAGATAAAACGTAGTCTCTATTTAAACAAAGTATTTCAGTCCAAATCCATCATACCAAAAAGGGGATGCTTACTCATCTAAACTCAGAGAGCTAAAATAGTCAGCTGCTGCCCTTCCCATACTTCATCTCTAACTCTGAGATTGGTGAATGGCCAAGCCATAGGCCAAGCCATTCCCTGCCTTTCTCCAATCCAAGCACATTGTCGAGTGATGGATAGAAGGGAGAGAGTGGGAGAGTGAGAGGCAGAATAGCAGGGAGGGAAATAGAGAGAGAGGGAGACAGAGAGACATTTTAAAAATGTGTTTTGTGGCTAGAGTACACAATACACAAGCTTTTGCATTCATGAAAAGGTTTAATCGATCTGCATGATCTTATTAGCCACTGACTCTCACATCAAACACCAAAAAAGCCCGGGTGAGAGCACTTCAGTTGTCACCCAATCAGGTGTAAGGAGCATTGCCTCAGTGCTCTTACAAAAGGCCCCTGAAAAGCTGCAGTTACATCATCACATAATCTGGAAGGTGAAGGTTCCCAGATGACAACAAAAGCACAGACGTGCACATGCAGATGCATAGACACTGAGGCACAGGCACACAGTCATAATTAAGATCAGTTACCATGGAGATAGGAGAATTGAAGAAGCTGTTGAAGTGGATTGATTGCATAAGTGTATGAAAGTGTGCAGGTCACAGCCCTAGTGCCTTTGTCATCTAAAGAACTACTCTCCTTCTAAGATGCAATGCTAAATCAGAATGCAAATGATGGCGATTTAACATCACTGTGTTGAATGAACTGCACAATTAGCTCTGTTTTGCAATGTTTACCAAACAGCATGCCATGCCTTGCTGTGGAATGAACCTCATCATGTTCTTTATTTCTCCTTTGGGGCTTTGAATGTGGAAAACCTTTCTTTTTTGGGTAGGAAAAAAATGTTGTTCGTATTTCACCATTAGATTAATAACTTGTTAACAATTTCACTTATATTCCTCCTGGCCAACAGTCACACACCATTTAGGCTGGATTAATTATTAACAACCTGATAAGAGACATAATCTTCATTCATTACGCCACTATTTACAGCTTTTCTGTACGATTGGCAAATTTTTTTAAAAGAAAATAAACAGAATCCATAAAAATATGAAATGATCCTACATAATTTAGTCATAATAGTTGATGACTATAATCTCCTAGTGTAAGATCAGACTCGCTTGTTTCCTGGCATGGAGTTTAAACTCTAACAATTAGCATTGTGTTATATATAGTTTACATTATTTTAACCACACCTGAGCAGGGTGTGCCAGTCTAGCTGAGGCATGGGCAAACTAAGGCCAGGGTGCTGGATGCGGCCTGTTCAGCTTTTTAATCTGGCCCGCTAAACTTTTCCAAATTATATAATTTATTTATATTATCATTATACTTCTGCCTTTCCCCTGTAATACCCACTTTTCCCCAATAAATGGCGGACAAAATGATAAAAGTGTTTTAGCCTGTATGCATGACTTCTACATGTAATTTAATTTAGTTCACACGAACGCTCCATCTATCTGCTCCTGACCTGGCCCCTCTGTTCAATTTTAGGACGATTGTGGCTCGTGAGTCAAAAGGTTTGCCCACGTCTGGTCTAGTTAATGCTGTGAGAGAATCACAGCAGGACAAGATGGTGAAATTGGTAGCTCTAGATAATATTTTTACACTGATTATATGAAATACTTTCAATGAAAAATCTTTCATTTTGATTTTTTGTAGCATAAATACAAATGATAATGAGTGGTGTCATATGTTACATTTTCAAAGCCAAAAGGTAAGAAAAACAGTAAAAAAAAAAAAAAGACTTATCATACCTTTGGAAATCCCGGTCGATCAAGCCAGTCAGCATAAATAGCACTGAGGGTGAGGCCTTTTCTGGAACGCAATGGCACAAGCGTTAGTATTATTACTATTATTATAGCAATGACTGTCATTGCACAAGATACCAAATGAAAACACTGCTGGCAAAATATTGTACGGGTCATGGCAAACTAGAGATTAAGGCCAACACACAGTGAAAATGAACTAAAAAGTACTTAATCAGCAATGGCTGGGTGTGTCTAATGTTAAATACTCAAAAGAAGTATCACCTAAATGTGTAGAGGTTTGACTGCTCTAGACCAACACCACTGTACGTTAGCTTGCAATGGACAGGATTTATCTTGAGTGGAAAATGTATTTGTGAAAAGCTTTTTGTTTTTTAATCTAAACATTTAAAATATGAAATATAATAATTTCCACTCCATAACAATCTGAGGAGACCTCTTTTAAAGATCAAAGCTTAAATTAGCTATATGCTAAAATATTAGGGATTTATCTTGTGTAAAATGTCTTTAAAAATTAGTTTGTAAGAAAGCTTTAGAGTTCTCATTCCCAATCTAAACTTTTAAAATATAATGGTTTCCATTAAGTAAGAATTTGAGAAGATTCATTAAAAGCTTAAAGCTAACATTAACATGCTAAAATGTGATGAATTTATCCTGAGCAAAACCTTTTTACAATTTGATTTGTAAAAAAGCTTTTAATCAAATTTTTTAAAATGTAAAATGTATTCCATTGAATTACAAATTAACACTTAACGCTAAAGACAATGTTAGCATGCTAAAAAGTTAAGAAATTGTCTTGTGGTGACTTCAAAATTGTATTAAGACATTTAAAATACCAATAACAAAATAGATATATTTCAATAACAGCTGAAGCAACCAGCGCACTGACTGAAAACACTCAATTACACAAGAGAAAGTATGACAGTTTAGTGAGGGTGACCCTTGTCTCCACACATACTCCAGTAAAACAGTTTCCCACTGAGTCATTTCCTATTGCATATTTGGAGAAAGCAGATGGGAAACTGGACCTTTTTATGAAATTAAAAATTATCGTTATACTCTACACACCATACTAGGTGAGATAACATTCACAATAAACCAACAATTTGCACAGAAATCTGACATTAAAGGCATAATTGGAAAATTAATGAAAAGGAAACTTTCAGTTCTTGGCATGTGGAGTTGAAACGCAGAGAGCATATACATAAAGACTGCATCTGCCGCATTGACAGTGAGACACTATTAAGCAGGAGTAGGCCAGGGTTAAGAAAGGATTGGTCTATTATGTGGCAAACAAAAGGTTAATACAGTTAATCCACTGCCTGACATATTGTTTAATAACAGCCAGATTTAAATAGGTGGCATTTCTAAAATAAAACTTGTTGGTGTGGGGAAAGGGAAACTTAAATTAAGTTTTATAGGTTATTTTTCTCCATGCTCAGTTAGCAAAATATGCCAATATTTAGAAGATAAAGGTATTCATCTTGAGGGAAAGGAGCTTCTTTTTTAAAATAAATATCAATCATCATATTGACTTTTTCTTTCCTTTAAATATATATGACTGGTCTTTTTAGTTTCACGTATTAAGATCATGCGGTGCAGGAAATTGTCAGGAAATGACAATCAATCGTGGCAGGATTGTCTGTTCTAATTGTCAACCTCACTGTTCTCATGAGCACCAAAGCAAAAGAGACAACCAAATATTGACACTCCCCAGCTCCCTTTGTTTAATTATCTAGCCGAGCAACACACTCCACATGACATGGGAGGGGGAAAAAAACAACAACATTCAGGGCAGACAAAGACATGCTGAGGAAGAAGAGCAGTGAAAAAAATAAGGCTGATGAAGAGGGGAAGAAAGTGTAGAAAGAGAGGAAGAAAACAGGAACAGTTAGACAGGCAGAAGACAGGGTTAATGAGGCAATCAGGAGAAACAGAATTGAATGATTAAATGAGTGCAGAGAGAGGGATAAACTGAAAGAGGAGGAGAGCAGGAGGAGCAGTTATCTTTTACACTTCAATTAATAAGAAAGTGAATGAGACTGCTCTGTTAACAGGATTGGTGTTTGCTGGATTTTTCTGACTGTGTCTCCACAGCAGGATGTGGTTCGTCAAATAGAACAACCAACGAGACACATGCTGATGCACAAATGACATCGGAAATGAAATATACCTCATGCTATTTTGAAAAAAAAAAAGAAACAAACAAACAAAAAGGAGAAAAATATCCAATGAATAAGATGTCTCCATGTAGGGAACTCCGACTAGTCTAAACCCAATTAAAATTCATCCTAACAAAATTAATTTCTTTTTTAAATTAAATTGTCATACTGCACTCATAAAAAGTATTCACAGACACTTGTATACCTCTCCATGTCAGGAAAAGTATGCAGCAGCATTTGCAGGAAGTCCTATTGAAAAAAAAGAAGAATCATAAAACAGACAAAAACAGTAGCATTTACTTAGGTGTGGGAGAAAAAAAACTGAGAAAGAAAGACATCCTAGCTCTTATGTGAGGTTTATAAGGTCAAGCTATGTTTATGTAACATCCATTATTTAGCTGTAAGACTCCACCTGCCACTCAGTAAACAAGAGCCAGGTGGAAGTCTTTACATACCCTAACACACACAAACACACTGTCATCACACACACACACACATATACTCAGACTTCCAGATGTAATCACTCAACCTCATAGCCCTAACAGGATAAACATATGTGCCTTAGCTGATGTTTGACCGTCAATATCCTGAGCTGCAGCACCAAACAACCCTTACACTGTGGTAACCAAACTGCCCTCAGAGACATGTCTTATAAAAACAAAACAAATCAATGATCAGATAGCTGATGAGGGCACAGAAAACAATACCCATATATTAGGATATTAATAATTTCATCTTCCTTTCACTATAGTGTATGGGAATATTTTAAACCTGCTTCCAGTCCTACACAGCAGCACCAATAGCTAGATCCCAGCACAAGACAATCCTGACATCAGGTTGGTGAGTGTAGAGATCATCAACAAGTCATGAAATATTTACAGCTACTTGTTTTCTTCATGTGCCTTATTACGTACTTCTTTCTATCTATATATACATATAATATCACATTGGCAAAAAGACCAAAATAAGTTGTATTTAAACATCAAATTTTGTGTTAGAGATTGACGTATTGATTGACCCACAGCTGCCTGGCTGTAATAGTGGAAGAAGAGATGCCTAAATATAGATAATCCTTTTCTGTAAACTCATCCATGTGTGAGTTCTATTATGCCTTCTCATATTCTCTCTCTTTAGGCACAGCTTATTTTGTTTTAGTCAATATTATGGGTATTTTGGATGTTGAAGCCGTTTTTGTTAATTTGTAAGATTTAAACCTCTTCAACTGAAGTGCTCTTTTCCTGAAAAAGCTCCACTCATTTTCTGTTCAGCCCAGTGCCTTAACTATGCAGAAAGTTGTATAATTATTTGTTCATGTTTTAACTGATTTTTATTCATTTCATTTTATTTCCTTTTAGATAAAAACGCCTTCTGTTAATGAAAACGACAACAACAACAACAAATCACTGTAAGCATTTTACAGTAGGTTGAACTCACACAAACAGTGCACATCACCTATAATAATACTGTTTTTAGGTCCATTGCATATCAATTGAAATCCAACCTAAAGAAGTATTCATACTGGTACTCTGGCAGGGCCAGTATAAAAATAAAAAGTGTTAGTATTTCTATCGTTTTGTAAAAAAATGGTCCTGGAACAAGCCTACTACACCCTTACCTGAGACAGAATGAGTTGCCCATGGTATTTGTTCACAAACATTTTTAAGAAATCTATAAACTGTTGCTCTCCCAGTTGACTGGCCAGGAATCTGAGGAGGAAGTAGCCCTGAATGAATGAAAAATGAAGACATTTAGAATATCAGAGACAATGTATGCTTTAAGCATATATATTTATACAGTTCTTCGCTTGTGCTCTACTGCACCTTCCTCTTACCTTAAGGTAGTGGACCTGCATAAATGTTTTTTCAGGGTTGAGCGCATGTTTTACTATTGAAGAACCGGACTTGTTGACCTGACCAGTTTTATCCATGTTGGGTCTGTAAAAGAGCAAAAAACACATAGATAAAAAATAAACAGGTGAGGGTGAAACCGATATATAGCAGGGAAAGTTAAAAAAGAAAAGAAAAAGAAGGTACATATAAAGTGAGGCAGGCAGGCTATAAGATAGAAAGAGGGAAAAAGAAATGTGTGGGATGGTGTGTGAGAAACTGAGCGCAGATTTATTTTTTGTCCCTCTTATAGATATTTTAGTTGCAGGAAACCACATTTTCAGCAGAGCAAGAATATATCGTCAGCAGCACTAAATCCAGCCACTCAGCTGAACCTTTCAATGAAGAACACATTGCCAAGTTGCCGTACATCGCCGGAGGCAGGCTGGAAATCAAGCTGCAGATTTATAATTGCATGCTAGTGTTTATATAACCTCACGGTGCTGTGGTCGGCCTGTGATGCCCATGACTGACTGAGCACACACATAACACTACTGACGAAAAAGAACCATGCTTTGGGTCTTACTGTCATACAAATACGTCAAAATAATAAATAAGTCTTTTCCTGCTACTTCCGTAAACACACAGACAAACACATATAAAACCAATGAAAGCCAAATAAACACAGTGCTTACATGAGAGCAGCGTGCAATGATAGTTTCAGTTAGCCGGTATTGATCGCCCTGTGCAGATTAACTCAGTGTGTCAATATGAAGGCCTTGAAGGATCACCCTCCTGCCAAGTCGATGCACAAAGCACCTGGTCTACCAATCAATACACCCTTCATCAATGGGTAGCACTTTTTCATAGGGCCGCTTCATGACAGACACGCATGTACACACACACAATCCACATTCCTATTTACGGTACACAAATTAAAGTGTGGTATCGGAAATGACAGAGTATTTTTTAAGATGAGGTTCTTCCACCAGCTTCCAATACAGTTAGTAAAATCAGATTTAAAAAATTAATTCCAAAATCTTGAATCTTGATACTGAAAATCAGCCCTTAAGGTTTATCCAAGGGTGGAGAACAAAAAAAATAATAAAAAAAATAAAAAATAATATATATATTAATTTTGTCACAGACAAACCTCATTCTGTAATAAATGATTAAAAAAATGTCTTTAACACACCAGAAGAAAACAGGAAGGGTTATCTGGATTCGGGAAGTGCTTCATTTGTGAAGTGGGAGGTCACATAACGCAGAGAACAGGTAGTTAGTTTGACTTTTTTTGTTTGTTTTTTTTCATTTATTTAATTTTATCTTGACACTGGAGGTACCAGATCCTGCAAGAACCAAATTCAAACCTGGTTAACAAGTTTGACTATTGAGATGCTGTTAAAAAGATTGTTCAAGGCTTTACAGACATTTTAGAAAGTCATATTCTACTGCAGGGGTCGCGAACCTATGACTCACAAGCCAGATGTGGCTCTTTTTATAACTGCAACTGGCACTCAGATCAATCTTAGCTGGTACTTCTTAACACAATAAGTAATACATAATTTAGCTTATATTTAAGTGTAACGTTAAAGAATCATTGTGTTAAAATATTTAATATTAATATTATCCATCCATTTTCATCCACTTATCCGTTACCGGGTTGCGGGGGCAGCAGTCACCACCCAAATCACATTGTACCGTACCAACCCCCCAAACCTTCCTGCGGGTGGTGAGTCCACTGGAAGGTATTAACCTCCCTAACCGGGATTCGAACTTGCCTAGGAGGTGAACCCTGAGTTCCACACCAATGACAGAGACATTGCCTCTGGGCCAATGCGCCACAATATTAATATTAATATTATATTTAACAAAAACATTTCTGTGTATTTGGTGCGGCAACGGTCTTTGTGTTGACGTCCGGTACGTCATCTTTTATTTCTGGCATTAAAAGTGAAAACAAAGTCAGTCTATTTTGGAGCAACACACACACAGGTCTGACGCTTTAAAATATAAAGTACATAACAGTACAGCTAATGAAAAAATTAATATAATCAAATTAATTAATGACGGACCTCCTAACATGTGCACCTACCATAAGGACAGCAGAGCCTGACTGTTGCTCCCCGGGGTATGAAATCTAATTCTTGTCTTGCTCCATGCCCAGTTGCCTGCCCATAGTGCCCGTGTCTGTCTGTTGCTGCTGATAAGATAAAATAGATCCTTTTTATAACAGCAGGATGTACCGTATCCCTGAGAAATATTATGTGTGTTGCTGTCTGACTGAGAAATACAGTGAAAAATAGGGACTGGGGCAAGAAACAAAAACAGAACAGAACATGTATTTCCAGGAGGAAAAAAAGTGCTTGTGTGTCAAAGACACCAGCAGCAGAGCATTGAGGGGAAAAATGTTTATCCATCACTGCCATGTTAGACAAAGAAACTCCACCCTTTTCACTGTCCAGCCCTGGGATGTAAGGATGTGGAAATCCCTGTCTTTCTTTGTCAGAGATGATTTACTACAGCTTTAAGGGCAATTGCTGCTCGTTGCCTTGGAGAATCACACAATGGTTCAATGTATTTCAGAATAAACGGTTCTCCCATCTGACTTGTGGGCCAGGTATGTGAGAGGGAGGGTGTTTGTCGGTGTGTGGGTGTGTGTGTGCGAGTGTGTGTGTGGGTGGGTGGGTGTGTGTTTGTGTGTTGTAACCATGCATACATCAGGGTGTGGCTAAGATGGAGAAACAGAGAGAGATAAAGAGAGAGAAAGCGAGAGAGAGAGAAAAACAAAATGAGGGAGAGGAAATCAGGACTCATTACTGACAGACCTTAATATCAATGACACACACACACACACACACACACACACACAGGTTTATAGCTCCACAAGCCATATCCTGACAAATTACACTGGTTAGACCATGGAAACCGGATAAGGTAGAGCAACAGTCCCAGAAGCCCAGTAAATCAGCAGGGAGAATGGCATTTGGCCCAGGCTGCCCTAAATATAACTAAGCTGAAATGGATTGATAACCACTGGCCGGAGTCCCCGCTGGACCGCAAGCGTCAATTGTGACCCACTGAACTTAAAAAGCACAACCTGCCATTTAGCACACACACGTTTGTGTGTGTATTCTCTGTACAAGCTTCTGAAACTTTCCTCAACACCAGGTAGACAGGTACTCACTTACAACTTTAGCGCATTGTGACCATCTGTTCGTGTTAGTACTAATAAAGCTACACGACAGAAGCTACTGTACATGACAGCACTAATTGTCAGTTAGACCAGTGGAGACCATAACAAAACATACAATGAATTGTAAGCAAACCCTATGGTGGCGCAAAACTTAGAGTTTTGGATGAAATCTAAACCAGGCATGACCATTGTCCTGTCTGAAAGAGAAGGAGAAGGAGAAGGAGAGAGATACTGATTTTTGAGGTAAAGTTTACACAGACTCCATGCAGCCTCAAACATGTTTTACAACACAATTTACAGTACCTTTCTCTTGGGTGGCACTTTTGCAATTACTCTTCAGTTCAACGGAGCAGTGTTTTCAAATTTATTTCAAACTTATAATCAGTTACAAATTGTTTGCAAGTGCATTTTCTTTCGTTATGTTTCTGTTTATTTAACCCAGTCAGGTGGAGAGGAACTCAATCCTCACTCATCCTGCTAATCGCCCATGCATCTGTTTCATGGGGGAACACCCTGATAGACAAGGTTTAACATGCATTCGCATGCACTAGCTTCCGATATCAGCGTGATCTCTTGCTGTGTTTTGGCGTGCCAAATATGTGAAACATTTCTGACACTCAAATATTGAATTCATATATCCTTTCCTGAACATTATTAGCAATTCTGAATGTATAGAACTACATGTTCAATTACAAAATACTGCCAGGTCACAGACATTATCCTTAACTGAATGTCAGTGTGTTATTTTTCTTCTTTTAAGGGTTTCATTTAATGTCTGACATTTTTGTTTTCTTAGATTTGGTTTCATACAAGACACTTATTTAATTGTTGAAAACAATTTTTTTATGTTATTGAATCTAAATTACTTATCATTGCACACTGCTGCACACACAACGAAATGTGACCTATGCCTTTTATCCATCACCAAAGTGAGCAGGGCGCCCATGGAGCAGTGTGTGGGTACAGTGCCATGCCCAATGGCTGCTTAACAGCTTGTGGATTCTTACCTGAAACCTTCCGGACCCAAGTCCACTTCCTTATCCACCAACCTGCCACTGCCCATAGTTATGATGCTATGCTAATTGTTGCATGCAGTCACTTTTGCTACCACTGTGTAGGCGACATATTATGTACTTTTGTTATAAATATATAATAAGTAAAGAAGATAACATACTGTATATTTCAGTGTTAGCAGCAGCAGTTAATGTGGTACACCATTAAAGAGTTAACCAGTGGCTAAGGTTTACACCTACGCCCTAATCCCCTGAGGACACTGCGCTACCGCCCCGGATAAAACAAACAGGGTGTGGGTCCCTCATTGTCAGGATTCACATGAAGAGTGTGTGTGTTTGTGCGCTCTCAATGCGTCCATCAGCAAAGCTTTTCTTAGACATGACAGTGCAGTACACATGGGTTTACTCTGCTACCACACCACGCCAGCCACACCTGTATTCGTGGAATGCATTTACACCACTGCTGCAGGTGCAGACGCGTAGCTGCGACCTTTGTGCCGTGCAAACGGTAGCTGATATATAAAATGTCTGTGTTTTTTTTTTTTTTTTGTGGTCAGGCAGGAGAAACACACCTGAGGATTTGTAGTTCCACATCTGAATTCTGCATCTCATCACAGAGCCTCCTCCACCTCAGCAGCGCCTTCAGGTCAGACTGCTCTGTCGTTGTTTCCGCAGAGAGCTAAATGGGTAGATAGATAGATAGATAAAAGGATGAATGGATGGATGTACAGATAGACAAACAAACAGACAGACTGACAGACAGACAGACCTTCCATGGTGCAAGAGTCAGTTTTTGTGCACACTAACTACTGGACTACAGGTTTTTGTGACAGGCAAAAAGAAGTCCAATCAAAGTCCTGCTGTTCCGCTTAGTTTTTTCTGTTGTGTAAGTGTATTTAATGTCTGATTTTTCTAAGTACGATCTCATTCTGGTATCAGTTTTAAAATTGTGTCAAACAAAGTGAATCACACAGGCTCAAAATGTTCTACTTCTTAGTATCTAGACAATATCCCGTCTAGATACTAAGCACCTTAATGTTTCACATGTAACAGCACCTTGATGTTTCCTGAAGTTGTTTTTCATTGGTTTTGATTTCTTATGAGGGAACCCTGTGTTCCCTGTGGTAGTTTTCATCTGGCTGACAGCCTCAATTGGCGGCAATTGAGTTATCTTCATAAAATCACTGCAGTAAAACAAAGGTTGGACAGATTTGGTACTGTACCCGTTGTGCTCGTGACCAAATGATGTCCTCGAGGTAAGTGGCGAAGCCCTCACTGATCCATTCCTCAGTCCAGTCTCTGGCTCCTATGACCAGACCAAACCAGGAGTGGGCAATCTCATGGCACAACCTGGACCCACATAGAGACAGCCCACCCTCTCCAGAGCCAGGACTTTCAGTATACAGTACACTTTGAGACAGAAATATTATATGGGGGCTGTGGAAGACAGTCAATCAGAAGTAGAATATTAGACGAACAGAGATTTCATTTCTATATAAGTTTTTTTCACCAGTCACCAGAAAAGTCATTGATCGCTAGCAGTATGAACTTTGTTAGCCCGTAAACATCCATAAATTTTTGGCCAAGTGGATTGGCCAAAAATGTACAACAGTGTAATTTTTGAAAAAAGAAGCAACTTTACTGGAGTTCTGACACCAGTTGTGACTGCACAGAACGGAATGTGACCTCTGCATTTAACCCAACACCAAAGTGAACAATGGGCAGCTTTCTTTTTTTTTTTGAGCGCCCATTTGAACCTGTAACCTTCCGGACCCAAGTCCACTTCCTTAACCACTAAGCCACCACTCCCCCACAAAAATAATGAAAATATTGGAAATTAAAACATTTTTAATGTTAATTATCTTATTACAAAACATATAATAATAATAATGCATTATACGTCATGAAAGAAAGAAAGAGCCTAGGGGCATACGCACAGGAAGCACAACTGCCTGTGCTTAACCTAAGGTTTCTCGTGCTCACGAGAAAGTATCTAGTTAGGTGTCCTGTTAGGGGCTCCGTACAGATCTAAGGATAAATAAATAAATAAAATAAATTGTATAGTAAATTGTTAGCAAATGTAGGCTTTTGAACCATCTTTCACTTCCGTCCTTTCTATATTTAAATAGAATTGACCAAATTCTCCCTACTTTACATGGGTTATAGTTTTATAGTGCCCACTAAGGAAAACCTTATGACTTGTCATTAACGTCCCTTTTATTTTTAATTAAGTTATTATATGTATTTATGGATAATATTTCCCTCCACCATCACCACTGTAGTTCTGTGGTCCACACGGAAAGTGAAATAGCAGTGCACGACATCATGTTAAGATGCTGCAATATGAAGAATATGGACTCAAAGCAAGTGAGCAGGCATGGGCAAACTAAGGCCCGTAGTCCATCTTTTTAATCCGGCCCGTCAAACCTTTCCAAATTATATACTTCTGCCTTTTCCCTTCCTCAATAGATAGCGTAGAAAATGATAAACGTATTTTAGCATTTTAGCCTTTATGCAGGACTTTTACATGTCATTTATCTTAGTTTGTTGTCATCTTGCACACTACCATCCGATGTTGCTTGGCTACACTCTTGGCTGCCACCACCTTACAATCTCTAATCTCCCTCAGATTACCTCTTCTACATAGAATATAACCTATCTGCGTGGACCTGCCTCCACTCTTGTAAGTCACCCTATGTTCCTCTTTCTTTTGAAAATAGGTGTTTACCACAGCCATTTCCATTCTCTTTGCAAAATCTACCACTGCCTGTCCTTCCAAGTTTCTCTCCCTAACGCCAAACTTGCCCATCACTTCCTCATCACCTCTGTTCCCTTCTCCTACATGACCATTAAAGTCTGCGCCAATCACCACTCTCTCCCCTGGGGATGCTCTGTATCACCCAATCCAGCTCATTACAGAACTTCTCCTTTTTTTCCAACTCACACTGACAGCATTCGTCACCCTAGTGGCTGGTTTTCTTTTACTAATAAACAAATTGTTAATATATGGAAAACATATTATTATTTTTTTATACATTCCTTTAAAGTAGGAATTTGAGAATTTATTTTAATTTCTATGTAAAACTGTCAAGTCCATTGAGTGTGAATGTGAGCTTTACAAATAAAATTGCCTGGGGTTGATCCTGAATTGAAACATGAATTATTTTAATCAATAATATTATAAACCAATCATTTTGGGGGGTCTGAATACACATACATATTTACATACAAAACCAAAGGGTCACATGAGGAGAAGTGGGCTGTTTAGGGCTGTACTGACTTGGGAAGCATCTCATCACAAATTTGCTGTGACCTCTAACATTCATGTAGTGCTGACATAGACTTTAGCAGTAACAAACAAGAGTGGACAAAAAGTCTTTTTAAATGTCTTCTACTACTGCAAAGTTTTGGACACAAAGGTATTTGAAACCACTGGAAATAAAATACCAGAATGTACCAGAATACCTTAGTCTAGAGTTATACATGAAAGTGCACACTGAGGCCACATTAGAACTCACACTTAACTAAATTAGCATTCAGGTACATTCATAGTCTAGGATGAACATGCCTCTAGCACAATGTTAAAAAGTCACTTTATAAAGACTTGAACTAAAAATTCAGTTTGCAGCTGTAACCAAACTGGTTTAACTAAATAATATTTTATATAAAATATTAACAAATGTTGACCTATTAACCTTAAAGGATTGATTTTCCTGTGGTGGTTGACACATTTCAACCAAAACCACAACACGTTGTAACAATACGTCAAGGTCAAGGGTCAAGGTCAGCTTTAACCAATACAGGAAAGGTTCAAGTGCAGTGTCACTTGATGAGAGGAGTTATCTAAATTCTCTAGTTTATGTGAACACGTGACTACAGCTCATGTGACTTATAACCGTGAGACAGCACCAGTAAAACAAGACCTATTGAACTGCTCTGGCAACCAATACAGGAAAGGTTCAAGTGCAGTGTCACTTGATGAGAGGAGTTATCTAAATTCTCTAGTTTATGTGAACACGTGACTACAGCTCATGTGACTTATAACCGTGAGACAGCACCAGTAAAACAAGACCTATTGAACTGCTCTGGCAAAGCCAAGGTCATGGCTGAAGACTTCTCTGCTGTGTTGCTTTGGGGGGCTTAGGACCACCTGTGGGTGAGAGGCAGCCTGTTCTTCAACAGAAGAACAGGAGAGGGGTCACAGAGGTGCAAATGAATGGTCTCACTCGCTCCCCTGGTCCATATAACAACACAGGACTGCCAAAGGCTCCTTTCACACTTTCAAGATCCTAAGTCCAGCAACCATCAACCTGCCAGCAGTGGGAGAATTTATGACAAACTGCAGGCCCCCTCTGCCATACCAACCTACGGGTGAGGCATATACAGAGAGGTCTGAGAGTCTGAGGTCACAGTTCCCTTCTCAGATACTGTATGTCAAAAACAGTGTTTCTCAAATGGTAGGTTGGGACCAAAAAGTAGGTTAGGTGGTGATAAATTGGGTGGTTAATCAAGGACTTAGTATTTTACCAATTTAACAATTGGTAATCAATAAGTGTTAACTACATCTACTGGCTTTGAGATAAAACAAAACAAAACAAAACTGAGAATATAGTCAACTTCAACATTTAGATACACAGATCACAAATCAATATAATCTTTGGTGACAGTGCTCAAGGACAAATTGAAAAATAATATTTTTAGTAATAAAGAAGGTAAATTAATCAGTCTTAATTTCCCTCCCACAGAGAGACATTCTTTGTTTATTTTTACTGTGAGGTATGGCCTCACAGATAAGGTATAACATTTTGTAATCCGCTGCCCCCAAACATGTTCAAATAATTATAATTATAAATAATAATTGGTTTGTATTGTGATTATACTTCAGCCTTTTCCCTGCAATGCCCACGTTTTCCATACAGATAGCATAGAGAAGGCTAAAGGCATTTTAGCCTTTATGCATGACTTTAACATGTCATTTATCTTAGTCCACACCAACACTCCATCTATCTGCTCCTGACCCAGCTCCCCTGTTCAATTTAAGGACATTGTGGCCCGCAAGTCAAAAAGTTTGCCCACGCCTGGTTTAGAGAATCGGAACAAAAGGGGGGATGGAGGGGAGAGAGAGAGAGAGAAAGAGAGAGGGGGGGAGACACAAATTTGACTGCTGAATTTAACCATTCATGATCAACAAGAGTGTTTTTTTTTTGTTTGTTTGTTTTTTTTGCAGTTACTGTATGGGATTCTGTTCTAGCTCTTATCTTAGTTTAGTGGTTTCCAAAGTGGGGCACAAAGCTATTACAGGTGCAGGGGCAACAAAATCGATACATTTCAGTTTTAATATTTTTGTATAAATTTAGAATTGTAGGGATTATATTTGTGTTTTTCACATACATTTTGTAGGAATTACTGTATTTTTTACTTAATTTAGTGAAGCATGAAGCAATAGTTGTGTCGACATGGGGAGACTTGTTAACAGTCCTAGCCATGAAAATGAAGTGGAGCAAAGAAATGCCATTGCACAAACTGAACGTTTCAAGTCACAACCTGGTCCAAAAGAAAAAAGGGAAAACACAAGTAAGTGGCAGTGTCACTTCATGTGTCCCACTGGAAATGAATGAATAATTATTTTCTATGATACCAATTTTCGACTCATAGTCTACACTACAAATATGTTGTGATTCTATTTTATTACCTGATGAGACATAGTAGCTTCGATTACTTCAGCAGCTGAGAAGAGAATTTGCTTTACTTTCTGTGCGATATGCTGCTTATTGATAAAAAAAAAAAAGCTATGCCAGGTGACAGTGTTTTTTTTTTGTGGGGGGCGGGGGGATTCTGCCATAATCAAACTAAGGTGACGTGTTAGGATAATTACAGGGGACAAGGTAGCTGAGACATTGCAGATTAGGTCCGTTCTGCCAGACAGTCTAAATTGGAGGAAAATGATACAGGATATGTGAGTAGAACAAGCATTTTATCAAAATTAAAGCAGAGCATCGCCTTCTGTTATTAAGGAACATGTCAACATCATACTCTATGGTCCTATGGGCATCATTTCAGAGACAGGTTCTCAAATCTAATCAAATGTTTTCTTTTCTGATTACACAAACAAAGCCTCGCCAAGCGGGCGATGCTAACATTAGCTTTATGAGTTTTTCTGTAGCCTAACCTTATTCCCCAACAATTGGCTAAGCATGGCTTTGTAGTCAGTTGCAGCAGTCCATTTGTGTGTGTCTGGCTGTGTGTGTGCACAAGTGTGAAACACAAAGACAGGCTTTCAGAAGCAGTACTTGCTCACACTCCTCTGAGGGAGGCAGAATCCATCACTGCAGTGACAAATGTGTCATCCCACCGATGGTGGGGATAAATAACAACAGCATCTTTCAGATTCACTGATACGCTCAGTGACATTAGTTGACTGTCAGGGACTGTCAGAG